TTCTAGTTTTTGTAGAGACAGTGTCTCACTCTTGTTCGGGCCGGCCTAAAACTCTGGGCCTCAAGCAATCTTCCCTCCTTGGCCTCCCAAAGTACTAGGATTACAGGCGTGGGCCATCATGCCTAGCCTAGAACTTTTCTCATTTTGCACAAAACTAAAACTCTATACTTACTGCACACTCGTACCATCCCACCATGCCTAGTGGTTTGAATACCTACATTTTATTTATTTCCAAGCTACTTTCTCCTGGTGTTCAGTAAAATCTTTTAGAAAACATAGCTTCTCAGCTGTGCTAAGAGAAAAGACTTTTTCTCCATGCTTGAACCTGAGCTATAAAACAGGCCTGCAGGAGGCCGGCTTGGTGATAGCCAAGCTTGGCAGTAGAAGTGAAGAGGGAGAGAGACTCTGGGGACAGGAGACACTCAGGGGGCAGAGCAAGGCCTACTGGGCTCACCTGCCCTCTGTCACCTGGAAACAGATCACACCCATGCTCCAAACTAGCTCTGAACCCCAGAGACCCTGCACTTATTCTCACTACACTTGGAAGGTGATGCTCAGGCTTTGAACTTGAGGAATCTCAGCCCATACCCACAGCTGCTTTTAGCTGTCCCATAATTCTAGGTTTGAACATAATCAAGATTCAGTAGTATGACAGCTTCTTAGTCCCTTGATTCTCTGCCTTAGAAATAAAAAAAGGTAAAATTGGAAGGTACAAACAACTGAGATTAAGGGGCAGAGTGGAAAGAGGTGGGAGAGTCATAAATAAAAAGCCCGGGTAATGCAGTGGCATCCTGTCTTCCCGACCTGCCTCCTGCTAACCTGTCTGCTCCTTCTCTTCCCTACAACAGTCACGGGCTGTCATTTTCCTTCTCTTTCATCTCTCATGCTAATTACCGAGACACTGCAACATGCATCCTGATTTATCCCCCTTGTTACAGGCTCAGGCCTGTGGATGGTGCCGTAGGAAACGCAAAGGAACAGGGAGGATTTTAAGCAGCATTAAGAAAATTTAAAGTGTTACCTTTTGGATACATCGGTTTAAGCCAGAAAACAGGAAGGTCACCACAGAGTTCTAAGACTTTAGCACTCAGGAAGCTGCTGTCCTTCACTGGCTGATCTACAGCCACCCAGATAAGGGAATTTTCTTCATATTTAACTGGCATGATCTTGCCTTCCTGTTAGAGAGTAAAGATGGAATGCAATTGAGAAAGAGAATGGTGGAACACCTTGCCTGTTAAAAGAGTCGCGTGTTGGTAAAAGATTATTTTGCCCTCTAAAAAATTAATGAGAACGTGTGTGTGTGCACGTGTGTGCCTGGACGCACATACAGACGTGCACTTTGAGGTTCTAATCCCCTTTCCTGTAGCTGTCCTCACAATACTCAGCCCACCCGCTCCCGTTGCCCTGCCCTTGGATAACTGTAATGTGTGACTATGAGTGTCCTGAGTGGAAGCGAAAATTACTTGATACCAACTCTGAGATTTAGGTTAATCTGTATTTTCGATCAAAGATGTTTTTGAGGAAAAGCAATTGAACGGACTCTGGAATCCTATAAAGGATAGAGGAACCCTTCATTTGAAGTGAAAATCTTGTGGGCTTTTGTTCTGCAGCTTCGGAACAACAATGGCAAAAGCAAACGCTTGGTTCTTTAATGTCTTCAGTTCAAAGTATTATTTAACATAAACCATTTCTCCATTTCACAGCTATAAAAACACATATTTCAGATGTTCCTTGCATCAAGCACACCGCTGAGATTTCAAAGCGAAACCCTGGGTTTTCTTCTACAGCAAGATGCTGAAAATGGTTTGCTAACCCAGGAGACAAATTTATTTTGCCAGGTTGTTCCTTTCATGTATTTATTAGTTTGCAATAGCTTGGAGAAATTAAAATGTTTTCTCCTTATTTTTAGCTAAAAGCAGCACTTCATTTATGCTTTCTCCCTCCGGCTTACGGCTGCATTAAAACAACTTAAAGTTATTGGAGGAAACTAACACTCAGGTAATCCAGTTATTTACCTTAAATTAAATGGCTCTATCCAGGAAATGAATGCTCTTTGAGTACAGTAGCTTTTTAAAGTTACACAAAACTGATGAAAAATTTATTAGAGCAAGTGGTGCATAAATCTACCCCTTCATAGTCTAAAATGTGTGGGGAAGAGTGGGGTGATTGGAATAATGCATTTAGATGCATTGCCCAAGCTCAGAATGTTAAATAAATCTTGGAGCATGTACTTTCAGTGCCTGCCCGATCTCCTTCCTTCCTCCCCTTCCTTGCAATGCAAACTTGCTTTTATTGGAAGGAGAAATGTGCTCACCTCCAGAAGAGACACCTGCTTTCTCAGACTCTCCAATGGCCAGGGGCCCCTGGGTGACCACTGCAAGCCAAAGAGATCTATGCCTAGTATGCTGGGAGGGTGGGAGGCTGGGAGGCCATCTGCTTTTCTTAATTAACCAGAAATCGTGTTTGTCACCACTCAATCTCTTTCTTCCTCACTTTTTATTTGAATGACAAATAAAAATTTGGGCTGAGGTTGACCATTGCCAACCACGATTGGAGCTGGAAGGAAAGATTTAAAAAGAAAAAACACAGAGTTGCTGACTGACCACTGAGCCAATGCCTGTAGCCACCTACCTGCTCACTGCTTACTATGGAAGAAAACAAATCCCTGTTTAAGTTACCCTACATGTAACTTAAACAGTTTTTTGTTACTACCAGTCAAACACATTCCTAATACACAAATATGTTGTCTGAATTTGGTTTTGTCCACCAGAGGATCCACCATGCATAATATAAACAACTAAAACACAAGACAAATAATCTACCTCTGTGGCCTAAGGATCGGATACAGAAAAAGACTATAAGTTATTTTAAATTACTATTTTAAATAGTGAAAAATTAAAGATATTTGGACTATTGAAGAATAAAAGACTTTTTTGCCTCTTTTTTAAAATTTCAGATTAATATGAGGGTACAAGCAATTAGGTTACAATGTTTGCATTTGTTAGGTAAGGTCCCTGTTGTAAAATAAGACCTTTAACATTATGATTGTATAAGGCCTGACAATTAAGTTCTCGAACTCACCCCAGAAAAAGTGCTAAATACTTCATTGCTGAATATCACTCTAGTCATCTTCAAAGTGCTGCCCCCCAGGAAGCTATGTGCCTAGTCCCTCCTTCAAAGCAATTTTGTAGCTGTCTTTCTGGAATGACCATCAGAGCTGTCCTCTCATCATAATACCCTTGATGCCCTGAATGTCATCAAAATGTCTTCCTTATAATATTTCCTTTATCTTTGGGTAAAGAAAGAAGTCACTGGAGGCCAGATCAGTGTTCCAATACAGCTATTTGTTTACTGGTTAAAAACTCCCTCATGGACAGTGCTATGTGACCTGGCACACTGTCACGATGCAAGAGCCATGAGTTGCTGGAGAAAAGTTCAGATCGTTTTTATCTAACTTTTTACCGAGCCTATTCAGCACTTACCAATAGTAAACTTGGTTAACTTAGACTGCTATGCTTTTCATAGTCAGCTAATGATTCTGATGCACAGCTCAACAAATTTTTGTAATATTTTTGTCATTACTAGCCACTCTGCGACACTTTCTCTCCCCTCAGAAAAACATTTCTTCCATTTGTACATGGCCATTTTCTTCATGGCATTATCCTCACAAACTTGGACTAACATGGCCCTGATTTCACTTCCACTCTTGCCAAGTTTAATGAGAAATTTAATGTTTGCTTATTGCTCTAATTCAAGCTCCAACATTCTCACAATGGCACACACACAAAAAAAATGCCACAACCATAATGAACACCACTCAGCAAGGCACCACCATGCATCCACACAAACACAGCTGCAAGACACCGACATACCAAGGTTATGAAACCTTACTGAGTTGTTTGCAGAGGGCTGCCAACAGAAGCGTGCAGTGGCAAGTTTGTGAACTTAATTGTCAGACCTCTTATGA